TATTGTGGCACGATACGTGATCGAGCTCAAAAGATCAGAGGGGCGACCCGCAATCGAGTAGATAGAAANAAGCTGAANGTTNATCGTTGCAAAGGNTNAATTNGAGAAGGTGCCTATCTACGTACGAAAGATAATCGTAATATATACTATACGCTCAGTCACGTGATGCTACACCACACTATATAACTATTTATCCCCTTGATTAAGCCATGATAAGTAATGCTTTCTATACATATAACAAACAATATATAATAACTCTCTAATTTAATTAAAACTCTAGACACGATAGATACATAGTTATAGATTTAATCTTAGTTTAAATATAAAAAAGTCTCTAAGGTATACTAAGTAGAAATAGTGCTAAATCTACAGGCGTGTTGAGCTTTGATAAGTTATCGTTATACTCTACTGTAGTTATAACTAGTGATTACCGAGCCTATCTCGCATCATCATAGCTGACATGCAAAACTTAGCGCTTATGCCTGCCTTGGGCAACAGTGTCAGACACATGGATTTCTTGTAATAACGATGCCTTAAAAGCGAACCTTGGGCCACCCTATGGAAAATTGTAGGTCTATCCGACCTAGGGCTTTGATAATTCTTTACAAATATGGCCACGGCGGAACAAATGGCGGCCTATGCTGCGGCCCTCCGTCAATACAAACCTGCCCAAGACAAGCCCGTAACGGAAGTCGCCATTTTCAAACTCAAAGAGGCTCAATCGGCCGCTACGCTAGAGTACTTTGAGCGGCAAATCATCCAAAACACAGCACCAGGCACGGGCATTATACGGCAATCATATGGCTTTTCTCTATCCGATCCATACACTCTCATCTGGATGCTAGACTGGGAAAAGATACAGGACCACTGGGACTTTTGGCAGACGCCCGCTTTCGCGCCCGTGATTGTGTGCATCGACAAGATCTTTGTTTCTGGACGACCACTGGTGCGACATTATGAGTTTCAGCCATCAGGCATGCTGCGACATAGCGTACAAAAGGTTTTTGTGTGGAACGATGAGTTGGAGGCTCCTAAAGCTGAAAGTCTGGTGGGAACGAAGAGCAACGCATCAGACAGGAAAGTTGCATATGCTGTCGATATGCAGGAAACTAGTTGGAGATGCGCTGTCTTTGGCTACGAGAACAAGGAGACCGCTCACAAGGATGAGTTTGTCGAATGGGAAGGGCTGGAAGCTCATCTTGTTGAATTAGCATTTGTTGAGAAGCCGACTCAAACAATGAAGGCTGGATTCGATATGGCGAAACATGGCAAACTCTATCTACACTCTTTTAAGAGAACCTAGTGACGCAAAGTTTCGATGAAATATATCTTATAGTGGAGTCGCATACTAGATTGGATGTGAAATATTGTTGGAGCTCAGATACATGTCTCTGACTTGGGGTAGGTTAATCACATTAACACCCATGCTCAAAAGTCTCGAAAGCCATATACGTGAGAATGAGGCATAATTAGGTCAATTCTATTGAAGTGGATATGAATCGTAAGCAACCAAGAGGCTCAAACTTTGCAGCCAAGGGTATGCAAGCATGGATTGGTCCGAAATGGCTAGATTGATGGAACATTGTTACTAACATGAAGTGATGGTCTATGACTTTATACATTCACTTTAACTAATGGAGATCTAATGCAGCTCCCAAGGAACGTCCTGGTTACGTATATAGGTCGTCATGCCGTCAGTATCGCCTTCAACCTCAGCTCGAATCCGGCCGTTGCCTAGGAATCCCCAGGGATCGTCGTCAAGATAGCGGATATTGTAATGCTCCCACCTTGGTATCTTGATGGTTTTGAGGTAATGCATCGACTGTAAATCATGTATTAGTACCGGGAATCGTATGTCAAACAATGTGAAAGAATAAAACGCACCGATCCGCCCCAAGACATGACTTTCCCATCTACGGTATTGTTCTTGTACCAGCTCTTACAGTCACCGCTAAAGACACTAGTCGTCATCCACTTGTCCACGTATTCATTTAGTTTGTCTGTAACATCAGTCCTAACATCCATTGCCTTGATACGTTCTGTCTGCATCTTCTTTGCGGCAGCGATGACGTATTCAATTTGCGTCTCTAAGCAGGGGAGCACCGTTCCATTAGCTAAATTCCCCCGTGCTCCATTCATGATCCAATAATTCGGGAATTTCGGGGCAGCGATGCCAAGGTAGCTTTGGGGTATGGGAAGCCATGCCTCCTTGATCTCGACACCATCGATACCATGCAACTTGAAATGAGGAGTCCAAGCGATGTCGAAGCCTGTGGCGCAGATAATCACATCTACCTCCTGATGGAGACCGTCCGCAGTGATCAGGCCTGTTTCGTTGATGGCTTTGATCTCCTTGAAGTGGCATTCTACATTCGGTTCAATGAGGGCCTCAAGATAACCATCACCTGGCGTCAAACGTCTGCAGCCGACCGGCCACTTTGGGATCAACTTATCTGTAAGCTCACTGTTACTCTTCAACCTCTTAACCATTTCGCTCTTCATGTACCATTCGGCCATGCGAGATGCTTCGGTGTCCTTATAGAAGATCTCGAATCCGCGATTTATAGCAGCCTCAATGTTTTTGCGATATTTCAGGTGCTCATCCGGCCTGGTCTCCATAAACTCTATCTCATCCTTCCGAAAGAAGTATTGCTGTACGAGTGGATTCGCAATCTCGTCTGGATTCGGATTCTCCGGGTTGGGAAGATCAATCCTAACCCGAGGCATTGGCGGCGCGATCCAAGTAGGGCTTCTCAGGTAGCACTCCAATTTCTTAGCAACTTAGGCGTCCATGTCAGTATCAGCATTGAAAGATGGACTACATGAAAGAAAAGTAATAACCTTTTTGAACTTGAGGAACGATCTGGATTGATGAGGAGCCGGTGCCAATCACCGCAACACGCTTGCCGGAGTAGTCCACAGAATCTATTTCAATCAGTAAAGGAGGATCGTTTCTGTGGCTGAAGATGAGAGTGACTTACCATCCCAATGCGCTGAATGTAGCACCGGTCCTTGGAATGAGTGCAAGCCCTTGATATCAGGCCCTATAGGGTTAGAATTTAGCATTGTGCTGGGGGCATAGATGTCATACATCTCCACCGGTTTAGGAGACCAGAACCATTCATGAGAATGTCGCACCAATCGATGAATGTCTTGCCCTGGTGCTCGATTTCGACTTCCCACTGTCCCTTGTCTTCATGCCATCTAGCCCCGAGGATTCGATGGTTCAACTTGACGAATTCCCCCAAATTCTGATCGCGGTAGAATTTCCCAAAGTACTCAAGTATCTCATGTGAGTACTAACATTATTTGTTAGCAACTTCTGTTCTCCTCCAGCTGTTTATGCTCAACGTACGGCGTAATACGATGACCACTTAGGATTTGGTAGAAATGAGTATGTGTAGACGTGAGCGGGTCTGGCAAATTTCAGCGTTTGACTCGCCGTAATTTTGTGGCATGGTGGGTTTTACACATCACACGCACACCCAGGATATCGATCTAAAAATTTCATGTTAGCGTTTTGTTCATTTGGCACTAGATGTACCAAATCATACTTTCCAGCCAAGTGCCTCCTATAGACGCATTCTTCTCGTAGCAGACTAATTGATAATTCTGCAATTGGCTGCGCATTTTATAGGCTGTACAGAGCCCTGTGGCACCAGCACCAACATGAATGATGCGGATCGTCCTTGGTTGCGAATGCCACTGATTGACCAAACCAGAAGTTGGATCACGCTGCGGAACATAAGCCCCTTCATGTGAACCATTACCATTGGCAACTGATCCCGGGGTTTGTTGTGTAGTAGTCTCTTCTAGTGCGCAGGTCCCGGCCGAAGCCCCGTTGGGAAAAGGCCCGTTTGTGCCAATGGCGTCGGTCGAGTACTCGCTCGTCTCGGCAGTTTTCATGTTGTACCTTTGGACAAGGAATTCACTGTTTCAATTGTGACTTTGCCATGTGTGAGAACACCAACGTAAATATTAAGATTCGTCCCATTGCCTTGTCAAGAGACATGACGCTGCCAATGCGAATGTTACGCAACTCTGCTCGCCTGGCTACTGTCAGTTGCGCTAACCTGGTGTCAGTTGGCATGAGTCATGCCAAGGCGATTACGTCGTTGGAAGGCGAGCCTTACTAGTCTTAGCCTCATCAATGCCTCCCCCTCTGCAGCTTCCGGCAGAGTTGTCGGCGATCCAACTTTCATCATGAGACAAACTGACATTGAAGCGCCTCGACCTACCCCGGGCTCGGGCTATTCGTGGATTTACTCCCTTTACCTGCATTGCGTAGTGTATCTCCTTCGCCAAGCGGTCGCATTATATACAGGCACTGGCTCACTCTTCACCAAACATGGCACTATAGTCACACCCGGTTTAGGTAATGGCTGTGTCAAATATTTCGTCTGCATTCCCAAGCAGCATAAGGATTCGGGCGAATCACTACCAATCATTCTTGTATTCGAAGGAGGTGGCTTTATCTTGGGTCAACCATCAGATGGTGAACGTAATAATCGGTTGTTATCTGACAGTGTCAGTGTTTGAACTCAAGGCCCTGCACATTCCTGTACTAATTCCGCCAGCTGAACGCCGTGGTTCTATCAGTTGACTACGCCAAGTCTCCAAGGTATCCCTTTCCGCATGCACTCCTTCAGCTATACCAAGTCTTGCAATGGTGTTTATCTTCTGATGGGGAGTGTGAGCTAGGCGTAGCCATTGACCCGAGTCGTGTTGCCTTTCTGGGGAACTCTGCTGGAGGAAATCTGGCGGCATCGCTCTCACTGTTGACTTCATTTGAATCAGGACCATGTGCCAAGTTTCGAGATGCTCTTCCAAGGAATTACCGACAAGTAAGCCAAGTTCTCTTATATCCCAGCACAGCATGTCACCAGCTTTACCGTCTGCGGTTTGCGAATACCACATCCGAAGTGCAAGGTCAATCCATCCCAGTGTGGGTGGCGGAGTTGATGGAAGGATCTTATCTGCCGCCCGTGGTGAACAAACAGCAAATCTTCATCAGCCCTTTGTTAGCAGATCTTGAGTTCTTAGAAGAGCTAAGATCCAACATCGCACCAGTTGTATGCTTTGTCGCAGGACTGGATTGTTTAAAGGGAGAAGCCATGCAGTATTGCAGAAAGCTTGAGAGTGCAGGCGTGCAAGTTTATCTCAAAGAATACCCAGAAGCAACTCATGGCTTCTCACATTATCCGAAGGATAACAAGAGTTATCGAAAGAATGATGTTCTCGACTGTTGGGAGGGCATTGTACGTTTTCTTGAGGAGGCATTTACAACACAAACTCGTCTCAGTTGAATGTAGTGTGAATTTTGTGCAGTTGAAGGTTGCCATGGCTATGATAGATACTTGAAAAGACATCAACGATCAGGTCCCAGGCCACAGTTTCTGTATTGCGTATATTTGTCAAAGAAGCCTTTCCCTACTTTCCAAAACTCATATTGTACGGCCTGGGTTTCAATCATCCTGAACACATCCATGCTTGCAATCAAATCTCCGCGGATAGCAAAAGATGGCGGCCAATATGGAGAAAGATTCTTGAGTAACTCAATACCCACATCTTCTGGGGAGACAGTTAGGGCATCGCGAATCAAAGCTTGCCTGATGTCGGGCCAAACAAGCATGTTGATTGACAAACGGTGCGGAATGGTACACTCAAGCGGTGTAGGACGGAGGAATTCTGGGACGAGAGCGTATGATTCAGGCGTTCTAAGCACATTCCACTGGTGATTGAATCAGAACTCTAGCGTATGCATGTCAAATATCCGTTCATGACTCACCCGCAAGTAAAGATACTGTACCCAAAACGTAGCTAGCATCCAATGCATTGGGATAGGTCCGTATTCTTTGATATAATGGAATAAACGAAAAGACAAAATATCCCTAGGACCCTGGGAGAGAAGACGGGCCAAAGATGGGCTTGTAGTATCGAATCTCCCAGCTTGGTGTTCACTTCTTGCTTCCTCGAGCATCGCGTGAATAAGTCGGTCTGCAGCACCTTGTGGGCGGGCATAGTTGGGAACTGGGAGCGAAGCAGATAAAGAATAAGAAGAGTCCCTCAGGGGAGCATCACCTTCGGATATACCATTCAAAGCGATAGTTTTGGATGATGTGAAGTAGCTTGTAACTGCAGCTTCGTCGACTGCGAGTGCATCATAGAAGCCAGTGTTATCAATGGCCTGGAGGGGAATGTTGGAGAAACTTTGAAGTAACGCACTCGTCTCATCCATGTGGTTGCTGAAGGATGGATGAGCAACATCGTGAGGAAAATCAAAGTTTTCAACAGCCGCGTCAAACGCGCAGGAGGAAGCTGGACTAGCAGCGGCGTATTCCATGATCCTTGTATCGTTCTCAGCCTCTAGTGGTAGTGGTGGTGGTGCTGTTGTTGTTGTTCCTGCTGCGGGACTCCGTCTCTGATGCTCATTCTCCCTTCCTGGCCGCGATTCTTTGTCGGCTTGGTTACCTGTGTTGGCCTCGCAGGCAATGGTGCGGATACGCTCAATCTGCGCTGCGAGATCATTGCACCGTATCCGAAGAGCCTCGTTTTCAGCTAACAAGGTCGCTACGCGCTCATCGGCACTGCTGGCAGCAGTTAATACTGCAATCTTCTGCTCGAGGCTATGCACATAGGTACGGCGGCGTTCGCGGTGGGTCCGCTGGCTCTTACGATCTGTGGCCCGCTTCTTGGCACGACGCGCTGAATTCGGTGATCCTGGCACTTCGGACGCGTCTGGTGTTGGTGAAGTAATCTCCGCGACCATAGTGGAGAGATGACATGAAGAATCAGCTAAGGACAAGGTCAATGAACAAATGGTAACACCCAAGTGGGTATTTATTGGATGTCTCTAGAGTACGCCACTCGGTGGCTTAGCGCCACAGTCTTAGCTCGGCTAATAAATGCGAGATTGCGGGGTAGAATTGTCTTAGTACGTTCAGAGCGGTGGCAGTTATCTCTCCCCCGATGCAATGGATTGTTCGTCTGTTAGACGCTCAGGCTGATCAATGTATGACATTTACTTAGCTGACTCTTTTCTGAGCAAGCGTATACCAAGCAGGTTCATGTCCCGTATACATGATAACTAGGCTACAGGCGCAAAGCGGAAGCTGTAAGTATATAAGAGTGTAATCTAAAATAGCTACGCCCACAGAGCCCCGGTCCGAGAATAGGGTGCTCTCGCGGCGGTGGCCTAGATTAGAGCTGGGAGAAGCCATGCGTTTAGCATCCGACTCAGCTTTTTAGTTAACTTTAGGGGCCTATTTACTTCTGTAGTTGCATTTTACGTTTACGTTTTTATTACTAGAATAAGGCTGTATTTTTTAACTATAGCTATAAATATAACTATATTTAGTAAAACGTATATTCGTTACATATAAATCTTTACAATATTTTATTACTATTACTTTAACTAGTAGAAAAAGCTATATTTAATAACGTACTTCACGGGTTCGCCGGCCACACGGGTGTTACACGGGGTTTGGATCTATACTTCTCCGTCCTAGTCCGCACTAAGGCAGGCGAGTATTACGCTAGTGTTCCGTGAGAGTTTGTCTGGCGATGCAGTGGAGTGGTGTGCTTAAATAGAAGGTAA